CAACGCGCAATGGTTTGTGGGCAATATCAGCCGTTAGAGTGTGCATCGATCTACACTTCGGATTCTGACCGGAAAAAGTAGACCATCCGGGTATCTTTGAAACACTCATTTCAACATACTACGATTTGGGACGTACTAATTCTATTTTCGAATACTATTTAGGACGGATAGTATGCGAATTGGGACGCAGGGACTGAAATACGTCCGCACCGCAGACATGTTGCTTCAGACAAGCACGTGCAGGTCGCGGTTTCTGTTTGCGTCATCACAACATTTCGGCCGTATTGTTTTGGTGATAAAAGTCTTTCGGCCATTTTCGGCCGAAAATTTACTTTTGGGCCATTTTCGGCCGAAAATTTTCGGTGGCCGAATATTCGGTGCATCCCTAATAGGATTTATGGCATGCATTAAGTTTGAGTCGTGCCTAGCTAATAAGTCGGTTAGCTTGGTAGAGGTAGTTAGCCGAGATGGTCCTCACTGCGGAACATGAAATCCATGGGGAGGAGTCGGATCCAGATCCAACTCCTCCCACCTTACATACACCTAAACCTATCCAAATCCGCCCCCTGAACCCTAAACCCACCCCTAATCCTACCCATCTCCACCCCTTAGATCGTGATCCGACTCCTCCCCGTGGATCTCATGTTCTGCATTGAGGTGCTACTGGGTTAGCTAAATAGTTTACATTTAGATTGCACATGTAAGGCGCGTTAGCAAACTAGCTAACATGATACTGACTGAACCCAACTGAACAGAAAACTGCAAAGTTAAAATTGTTGCTAGCAAGGCCTGCTTTGTTATTAACCTTCTCCATAATATATGGTTGTGGCATTTGTTATTCACATGAATTACAATTGAACTAAAAGTGTTTAAAAGCTTACCTTGAAGATGAACACGTTGACTGATGCAGCACCTGCTCGTCCAGTGTGTCACGACTCACGAGATGCAATCAGTCAATAATCATCAGACGAGAGAAGCGCGCGAGCCGCGAGTATAGGTGTGGGGGAGGGGTTGACTATGTGGGGACTCCTGTCAGATATAACACAAGAATAATCTTTATATGTCCCGTCCCGTATATCCGACCTTGAGAATGTTGCCAGCTTTTCTCCCGCCATACAACCTAACCACGTGCAGTGCAATGACAACAGATCTAAACTTGCTAATTGTCATAGTCCATCCTAACATACAAGCTAACTAACGTTACTGTAGTGTGCATATAATATAAAACACACATTTATCGATTATCAATCACATTGTGATTAAATTACAACACACGCAAAAAAATAGGATTTATGACATGCATTAACTTAAGTTTCAGTCGTGCCTAATAAGTTGGTTAGCTTGGTAGAGGTAGTTAGCTAAATAGTCTACATTTAGATTGCACATGTAAAGGCGCGATAGCAAACTAGCTAACATGATACTGACTTAACCCGACTGAACAGAAAACTGCAAAGTTAAAATTATCGCTAGCAAGGCCTGCTTTGTTAATAACCTTCTCCATAATATATGGTTGTGGCATTTGTTATTCACATGAATTAATTAAATAAAAGTGTTTAGCTTACCTTGAAGATGAACACGTTGATTGATGCAGCACCTGCTCGTCCAGTGTGTCACGAGATGCAATCATTGGATGTAATCATCCAGAAGAGAGAAGCGAGTGTAGGTGTGGGGGAGGTGCACATTGACTATGTGGGGACTCAGATAGTCTTAACCAGGACATACGCCGGTCTCGAGTGTGTGTGTGTATAAGATGGAAAAACTCACAACAATCAACATACGCTCTTGATATCGGTTAATTTATGTACCCTCCTTCCAACTGAAATGTAGGTCTCTAGTTAAGCTCTGTATTATAAAAAAGACCAAATATTGTGTCATGTTGATAAAAGAAACAATCACGTTAGTAAAAAAAACCTCCTGCCTGACAATTCAAGTGTGAGGCAAGGGTTTTAAAAGGGAATTGTAGGACAGAACACATTCGATTAAAGATAATATGAAAGTTAATTTAAATTAATAACTGGAAAAAATATATTTTTTTGCTTTAGATTTGTGAAAGTTTGATTTGGTGCAGTTAATAAAAAGTGGAGAAAAGGAGGGCTTCCTAAAGTAAGAAGACTAACAGGTCTGTGAGAGCTGAATTCTTACTGGTTTGTAGGTGATCAAATGATGTCATAAACAATAAACTGCAAAAAAATTATATTTTTTTTATATACAATGTGATTTTCTGGATTTTTGTTTTCGATTCTTTCACTCTGAGTAAAAGAGTATATTCATGATAAAAATGATAGGCTCTTACATGGTTTGTAAGTGGGAACCTGCACAATCCCCAGTGTATCAAATGCTTTTTCTTCCCACTGTAGATAACTGAGAGTAACACTTATTTTAAAAGTGCCATGTTGACAATGTTTGGGAGTTGCAATACTGAGTTGCAACAAATGACAGCAAACAATCCCATATGATACTTCATCTGGTGCCAAATCTAAAGCAAAACTATATTTTTTTCCAGTTATTAATTTAAATTAACTTTCATATTATCTTTAATCGAATGTGTTCTGTCCTACAATTGCCTTTTAAAACCCTTGCCTCACACTTGAATTGTCAGGCAGGGGTTTTTTTTTACTAACGTGATTGTTTCTTTTATCAACATGACACAATATTTAGCCTCACACACTAACTTTATTTGTATTTCATACTGTTTTAATACCCTATTTTCTTTCTCATTTTTAGGAAAAGCAATTAATTACCATTGTTTATTTATACCAAATGTCATACACTTGCAACGAAGCTAAACATATAAACAACTACACCATTATGTTGATATCCTATATTTTTACAATAAAACTTACATCAAACATAACTTCTAATATCCAGTTGTTGCGTATAGGCTACCGAGCTGCATTGAACACATTTGTAAATTAGCCTTTCGCCGAGCCCCGCCCCCCTTAGTTACTGTTGCTACGTCCGTCAAACAAATGGTCAAACACAACCAGCGCGACAGATTGCCATGACGGCAAAGGGTATTCCCGTGTGTGTCAGTGACCTTTTTTGGAGCAATACCTCCGCGATATCATCCAGATCGAGGCAAAACACAGTATGCGGTGGAGGGATATATTCAAAATATAAAAATAAGAAATGAAGGAGACACGACTACTATTGAGGCTAATGCTTACCAGTCTCAAGCAAAATCAGAAAAACCCCATGACCATGGTATGATGTGTGATTGGACAATGGCCGTTTTGGGGGAGGGGCCGGCGAAAGGTCAATTACTTTCCTTAAACCCATTGTGCGAGTTCAATTTAATACCGCGTGCTTTATAAACATGCTGCTGCTGATTGGACTGCAGTTCTGACACACCCACCACCAAACAAGAGAAAACATATCTCAAACCCTGTTGCACGTCGGTGCACACCGTTTCCAGGAAACATGACGTTCGAAACCATAGCAAAACCGTTTGAAACTTGAACATGCCCCAGGTCAAGAACTACAGGAAATGTATGTTGTCTTTAATTGCAAACAAACGTTTCTGCACCAAAAATTAAGTTAGGCTTTTCTGATGTATCAAATACTTATCTCATGCAATAAACTGCAAAATGATTTTGTTTTTTAAATCATACAATGTGATTTTGTCACTCTTCGCGGATGATCTTGTCGTGTTGGCCCCTTCATACCAGGACCTTCAGCATGCACTGGGACGGTTTGCAGCCGAGTGTGAAGCGGCTGGGATGAAAATAAGCACCTCCAAATCCGAGGCCATGGTCCTCAGCCAGAAAAGGGTGGCTTGCCCACTTCAGGTTGGTGGAGAGATCCTTCCTCAAGTGGAGGAGTTTAAGTATCTTGGGGTTTTGTTCAAGAGTGAGGGAAGGATGGAACGGGAGATTGACAGACGGATCGGTGCAGCTTCAGCAGTAATGCGGTCGATGTACCGGTCTGTTGTGGTGAAGAAGGAGCTGAGCCGTAAGGCAAAGCTCTCGATTTACCAGTCAATCTACATTCCTACTCTCACCTATGGTCATGAGCTTTGGGTCATGACCGAAAGAACAAGATCCCGGATACAGGCGGCTGAAATGAGCTTTCTCCGCAGGGTGGCTGGGCGATCCCTTAGAGATAGGGTGAGAAGCTCGGTCACTCGGGAGGAGCTCAGACTAGAGCCGCTGCTCCTCCACATCGAGAGGGGTCAGCTGAGGTGGCTCGGGCATCTGTTCCGGATGCCTCCTGGACGCCTCCCTGGGGAGGTGTTCCGGGCACGTCCCACTGAGCGGAGGCCCCGGGGAAGACAGGACACGCTGGAGAGACTATGTCTCCCGGCTGGCCTGGAAACGCCTCGGTATCCCCCCAGAAGAGCTGGAGGAAGTGTCTAGGGAGAGGGAAGTCTGGGCATCTCTGCTTAGACTGCTGCCCCCGTGACCCGGCCCGGATGAGCGGAAGAAGATGTATGTATGTACAATGTGATTTTCTGGATTTTTGTTTTAGATTCCGTCACTCAGAGTTTAAGAGTACCTATGATTAAAAATACAGACTCCTATATAGATGTTGTTTTTAGATAAGTGCAGATTAATTAATTAGCACTTGATTGTTTATCTGGAAAAAAAAAAGAATCTGAAAGCACAGAATAAAATAAAAAAAAATTGGTGAAACTGACCTGACCTAATAGCTGCAGCAATATCATAAATGTTGGCTGCCCATGAGCATTTTTAGCATGCGTTCAAATTAAATATGGGGCTTGAGTGTTTGTAAAAACAACAACAAAAATATTTAAATTATTTTTTTAAAAAGCCACAATTGTCCCACTATCACGTCACGTGAAGTAGTGGTAATTGCACCTATGAATGGGTCATAGAACTTCAAAATGAGTTTTAAATTAATCATTTTATAAACAGATTTTTATTCAAGTAAGGTTCTTATTCTAAATGTTTATGTTTGTAAATTCTGTGGGACTGTGACGCGTTTTAATTTGCGTGCGCGTGAACACTCGAGCTGCCTTCAAACACTGGAGCGGAGATGAGTTGCCATGGAAACGGCGCGGGGCGCGACCGCACTACTGCAACTGTCAGCAAAACTCCGTCTCTCGCTGTTGTTTTCACTGCTTTCAGGTGAGTTTAGCCTCTAAAATCACACTGTTCTTGACACTTACTGTATCTTACTTGTAATCGACTTGCTTCTGTTGAATATTTGCTTTATAGAAATGGTTAAGTGTCTTTGAAAAAGTCTGTTAGCATCTCAACCGTTTTCAGAAGAGGTAACTTAGGCTAACTTTATAGCTTGAGCTTTTGTTTATGAAGGTTTGGGCCTTTAATCACATTTTATGTGTAGATGAGAGATTTTGATAGTTTTGTAAAGATTTTGGACACAGCCTAAGCTAATTTATAGCTTGGACGTAAGCTAATTTATTTAAAGTACTGTTAATCGTTGACGTCACTTACATGGCGTGCTTAAAAATTGCTGAAACTAGCTCAACGGTTAACAAATATTGATAAAAACTGTTCTTTGATTTCAGCAGCAACACAAATAATCCCTCTTCAACAGAGGAAAGCTCAAAAATGTCAACATTTCTGAAGAAAGATGCTGCCAGAGAAGTGGAAAACACAGACAGAGGTGAGGAAGCTCATTAAATAACAGAAGATTTGATTTTTCTCGAAAATACTAGTTAATGTTATCTCATTAGTATTTTTGTCAACTTGGTCTCTTTCAATTAGGACTATTTTTATATTTCTATTTCCATCTGATTAATCGTTGGCCTCATTTAACAGAGTAGGCATATGAATAATTTTGGAAATAAAATATGAAAAACATTGCACTGTTGATCATACTAGTCTACTTTAATGTTTCAAAAGTAAATTTGCTTTGTTTTGTGTGTATCAATGTCAGATGGATAAATGAATATTAGATGCAGTTCAGGATCAAGTTTCTGTGAAAAAGAATGTGTGTAATACTCAAAATAGTTTCTGTGTCTTAATGTGTGTCTTTGAGTAGCGTGTGTACTGTGTATGCATGTATCCACACATGCTCAGGTCCAAGGGCTCGATGTTTGCAAGCACATGTGTACATGAACATAATGAACATGTTCATATTTTACTTAATATTTCCAAAATTATTAATAAATGCCTACTCTCTGCCCACGATTAATCAGATGCAAATAGAAATAGAAATATAAAAAACAGTGGTGACAAAAAGATTGAATCCAGAATTGGGAGATAAGTGATTTATAAGCTATTTTTGGAGACCAGTTATTTTTGACCGGGAACACCACAAGTTTTATAGGGGTTTGAACACAACAGAATGAAAAAGTAAACCTAGTAAAAACATACATTTTGTTATCCTAATTAAGAAATCATTGTCTGTTCTCTCTCTTTTCTGCATTTTACTTCTGCTGTAGCTTCTGTCCTTTTAATAATCCTGTCACTGTATAATAATGTTGGCTCTGTGACAAATGGTTTGTTGTGTTCCTAGATCCTTCCATGCAGATGCCCTGCACCGTAGCAGAGTTGAGCTGATCATCATCTCTAAGGCGCTATCACCATTATGATTAGTAAGTAAAATCAAGCCAAAGACAAATTTCCACTTGAGGACAATAAAGGAACTAAACTAAAACCTCAAACATACTCTAATGTTGTTGGTAAAAAAAAAGAAAAAAAAAGATGTGTTTTGAAAGTAGTCTCTCATTCTCACAAAGACTGCATTTATTTAATTAAAAATACAGTAAAAACAATAATATTGTGAAATAATATTAAACCATTTAAATAACTGTTTTCTATGGAGAAGCATCACATTATCCTTCAGAAATCATTCTAATATGATGATTTGATGAAACGTTTATGATTATTATCAGTTTTGAAATTAGTTGTGCTGCTTCACATTTTTGTGTTTTTCAGGATTATTTGATGAATAGAAAGGGAAAAAAATATTTATTTTCTATTCTAATAAAAACAATAATTCTATTGAACCCAAACTTTTGAACAGTAGTGTAAACCACCATTTATATATGTCGGGTCTAATTAACAATTAATCCTGGAGAGAGAGAAAAAGAAAGTGGATTAAACTGTTACACTGGTTTACACAAAAATAGCAATCAGCACAACTGTTTTCAACATACTCAGAAATGTTTAGGACGTTTGCATTGTGAGAAGGTATAGTATTCAAATATAAAAATGCTGACTCGTTAGGTCATGTTTTCTCATTAAGATTTCCAATTAATTGAATAGAATGTAAGGGAATAACTCTAGAATAATCTTCCTGTTATGTTTGGGGCCCAGAAACATGATTCTAATTTAAATCTAGATTAAAGACACATCTCTGTAGCCAAGCATTCAATTTACACATCTCATAATCTTGCACTTCAGTTATATGTGATTAAATAAAAAGTGCACATGATCACCTTTTGCCTGAAATAATATGACTGCTGCTATGCTAATCTTTCTCCTGTTGCTTCCCTGTTTCTATCTCAGGATGCTCAGCAAGTTCACTAGAGATTACAGCAGCTCCGTGTGGATCCAGCCTCACTCGTGAAGACTTCAGATGACACCAACACTCACAAAGACTTCAGATGGTGGCAACTATAGATGGACACAAAACTGCCAGATATTGCATTGGCCCGGTTTCACACACAGGGTTCAGATTAAACCAGGTTTAGGCCTTCGTTAAATTAGGATATTTAAGTAGCTTTTTAAAATGTACTTCAGAAAAAAAAAGAAGGAAAAAAAAAACATTACTGGTGTGCATCTCTTGAGACAAACCAGTGACATTGAAATATTTTAAGATATGTCTGTGCAAGTTGCTTCCAGTTAAGACAGTTCAAAAATGCATTTTAGTCTGGGACTATCTTAAGCCTTTTCTGTGGAACCAGGGAAGGGAAGGGAACGTTTGCATGACAGTTTTGCTGACAAATAAACAGGAATATCTTAGTATACCTAACTAGGAGAAAGAGTAAACATTGTTCTAACATATTACCAACATTGTAAGAATAGCAGGTTGAAAATCTGCAACCCTTTAAAAATGATGAAGGATAGCAATTAGGACTTTAAACTCATGACTTGTATTATCTTATAGACATTACTTTGTTGCCAAAATGCTCTCCCAGTGAGTAGCAGTCGCTTCTGGCTGATTAAAGGATATTTTGCAATTGTATATAACCTTGAACATGCATTTTTTTGTAAAGCTGTTATGAAACAATTTGTATTGTGAAAAGCACTATGTGGTTTTACTATGGTACAACTACCAACCATGTTATTTATTTATTTATTTTAGTTTTCAAACCATGGTTCAACTAGTAGGCTAATATTGCTGTAATAATTGCTGTAAAATTATGGTAATCATGACTATAAACGTATGTTTTTAAACCTTGGTTGTGTTAGCAACTATGGTTTTACTGCAAATGCTGTGGTAAAACCATGGTTAATTTTCAAAAGGATCCAACTTATCCTATAATGTACTCGACTAATAGTCACATTGGATAAAATAATCTGATAAATGTAATGCAATATATCCATTTCATCTGTTCACTGAAAATTAATTTAATAAAAATAAATTTGCAACTGCTATTGAGACTGGTGTACATTGCTTTTTTATCCATTAGCCTATAACTTTAGTGAATTTTGGCTAGCATGAGTAACTGATTAAGAACCGTGGACCGACCGTGGTCCGCCAGAACACACTTATTATAAACCAGCGGCAAGATAGCGGACCACCGTCGGGAAGCGGCGGCTGACGCTGGAAGTCCTCTAGAATAACGATGAGCAAAACGCCAGTGATGGCGGGCCCGCTGGACTCTATCTCATCTACTGCGCGAAACCGGATCATCACCTTTTGCCACGCTAAATCTAGCTGTCAGTCAGTGAAGTTATGCTGCAGAGTAAATAGATTTGACATGATGACATCAAACGATAGTTTGGACATTATCTTCGCCGACAACATGTCTAAGGTAGGATAATAATTACATAATCTACGTTGTTTCATAGCTTCATCATTACTTTGTATTGGCCGCTGTGTGTATTGCGTGGACAGGCTGTACCTACGGTAATCACGTAGCCTATGCTATCTTGTTAGCTAGCCTAAGTAAGCTATCATCAACGCGATCTACTAACATGATTCTAACATAAGATGAATTACAACATGGGTTTCTGATTTCAGTACTAGTAATTGACTATGTTTAGCAGGTGTTTGTTTTTCAACGTTTTGGTAAAACTATTTGATATTTTATGGCTGCTTGTAGAACAAGATCTAAACATCCTACTAGGCTATAAGTGTCTGAAAATGATATTATTTTTTATAGACAAAGCGTAGGATCGTCTATATTCATCATACTTTATTAATTTACTATAATACATAATTGATTTCCATCAAAAGTTAACTTGAGATAACTTCCTTGTGTCCAAATATGGCATTTATTGATACGTAATATCTGGCATTTATTTATTGTGCACAATGCTGTACCAGGACCGAACCATAGGGGGGAACACGTCTTCTTAGTTTCCCGCCATACATGTAAATATGAGGCGGAGATTTATTAAATATGCACACTGCAGTACCAAGACCCGGCTCCAGGGGCAAATCCGAGTACACACCCTCACACTCCAACACTGGTAAAACCACCTTCTGGGGTCACAAGGAAGGAACTTAGAAATTTGCACAGGCTATATTAGCATGCTATTTTCTATCAGTTCCAATGGGCGTCCTTATGGGGACACAGATTTTGTCCCCAGTTGGTCATCGTGTCCCCACATGGAAGGTAAAAAAACACCTCCATGTCCCCAAGAGGTAACATAAACACACCCACACACACACACACACACACACACACACACATACACATACACATACAGCTTGCATTATGCTTTCTGAACTAGCTTAAGTCTGTGTGTGAGTGTGACTGACAGCTCTGGATCTTCCTGGTTCCCCTGTGTTGTCATTTACTTTGGCCATCTAAAGCCCCAGTAGACATCATCCTCCATACAGACCTGAGATAAACTCATCCCTCTATGCTTACATCTCTCTCTCTCTCTCTCTCTCTCTCTCTCTCTCTCTCTCTCTCTCTCTCTCTCTCTCTCTCTCTCTCTCTCTGCACAGTTTAAGCCCCCTTTCTCTCAACACTTCACTAGCCAAGACACTAGATGTTAAAGAGAAAACACTGAGAAAGGAGGATAGATAGATATACATGGAGAGATATATAAACTCTTTCAAAACTGAGCTGTTCCAACCCTGTATCATTTTATTTTACCAATGGATCACAAATCAACGGGTTTTGAAGAATGTTCATGCTGCCCATTTTAGTGCAATGGAAGCATTTGTCAGACTGTACTGTTGAATGCTTGATTGGGCGGAACGGTGGCTCAGTGGGCAGCACTGTTGCCTCACAGTATGAAACCTGTGACAAATGAAATGTGTGTGTGTGTGTGTGTGTGTGTGTGTGTGTGAATCAGACCCCGCAAATGTGAATGTGAGTGTGAAAAACGCAAGGAAGATGGATGGATGGACTGTTGAATACTTTTGATTCTTGGTAAGTTGTGGTATTCTGGGGTCAAATATTTATGAATTTATGAAATGAAGACCTTTGTCTTGGACAAAACATCACTTACAAGAAAAAATAACCAGTAAGATTGTTTTCCTCAGTTGAAGCTTTATATATATATATATATATATATATATATATATATATCAAAAGTCCTCAAGAAGATGACCAAGGACTGTATAAAATAAAATAAGTCTACAAATCGAATTTAAAACACTATCTAAGAATAGTTAAAAATAGCTGTTTAAAACAGTTTAGGGAAATTTGATTATAAATAATGATACTTGTTCAATAATTCAAGAGTTTGTATGCTTATTAGAATATCAAATTATTATCTTGGCAACATGAGGCTGCAACTCTACTGGAATCAACTGGGAGCGTGATTATTTATCAGTTCTCATGAAGAGTGCTAATGATTTGCATGAGGAACCATTATGAGAATCACAGCCTATGCAGAGCGTTTCAAATCACTGCCTTTCTGTGATAGAAGGTGACTGGCTATGCAGACAGCAAGCTCCATCAGTTTTGAAAGAACGCCATACATAGAAATGCATGCTCTGCCACCCACCTTCTATCCAGTGGAGTCTGAAAAACACTGGAGCAGACATCCAGATCAGAGCTGAATGTTTGCGCGTCACTTGTCTCTTCTTCACTCTTTCATTCTCTCTTTCATGTGATTATGACTGATTTCATCCCTGAGATTAAATGGGTTTCATTCGTTCATTCATTCAAAAACACTGGATGTTTCCAAAACCACATACTTCTCTACTATATAGAAAATATATATGAACATGGTATGCCATTATTCACAGTAATTAAAGAACAGTGGGCAAAATACTACTGCCAAACTAAGGCCTTTTTGACCGCCGAAATCAGAGCATACTGTATATCCTAGATACACTTTGGACAGTGAACAGTGGAGTATCCCTTTAAAGGTATAAAGTTCATATCAAGACTGAACATCTGAACATCTGAGACATCCCAGTCCTCTGATACCATACAGCAGGAGCAAAGGTTTTACAGACTTATGCCCAAGATTTATTAAATATAAACATTTCCCCAAAGATTTTCTTTTGGAAGGGTAAGGCTGGGATCTAAAGACAGCAGTACAAAGAGATCAAAACTCTGAAGAACAAGGCGGGTGAATCTGACAATTGTGAATTTGAAAGTTGTGTTAAAATGATGTAATGGATTTGGTGGTTGATATCACTGCAGAAGATTTGGACAAGGGGCAGGCCCGCCCACAGAAATGAATGGGCCCCTGAAAAGGTCCTGTGAATGGGCCCTCCCCAAATCTGCAATAGGTTACTCATATAATGCGTGTGCTCTCTCTCTCTCTCTCTCTCTCTCTCTCTCTCTCTCTCTCTCTCTCTCTCTCTCTCTCTCTCTCTCTCTCTCTCTCTCTCTCTCTCTCTCTCTCCTCCACATAGGCTACATTTAACTGAGAGAGACTTACTGAGTGATAGGGTCTACATGCACATACACACACAGGGCTCTCAAGTGTCACACATTGAGCATGACAGTCACTCATTTCGGTCTTTTGTCACAGAAAAATTATTTATAATATATTTAATATGCTGCAGCGCCCCAAATGTCACTGGCCGCGCCGCTTTTACTTTGTACCCGGCAGGAATCAAGCGCCTTCTGTGTTGTTAGTTGAGCTACACAAAAGCCAATCAGAAAATAGTACTATCGTATCTGGGTACGATTTAACACAACAACCAAAAAAAAAACCCAAAAAATTTTTGTCATGAAACATCCCCATTCTCGCGACCTGACCAACATCTACAACCCGGTCTCATCCCAAATCGTCTTATAACTGACGTTTTGGGACGTCTTTTGACCATACGTCAATATTCGCCTTTTTAGGGCCCCGGGGGCCCTAAAAAGGCGGATATTGACGTATGGTCAAAATACGTCCCAAAACGTCAGTTATATGACTTTTTGGGATGAGACTGTGTTAACATCTAAGGCTGCCACTCTGCAGCCCTCGCGCATCTGATAAGGCCTCATTAGTTAATTTACAAGACGATTTTAGGCGATTGCTTCAATCACCACTGGGACGTGTTGAGTTGTCAATGGTTTTACCGCGTCAATTTGCGCACTCCATCGTGTGTCGAATCCATCAGCGTTTTGACTTTGCGTTACATACAACAAAAAAATAGCCTACTCAGACCATTTTCGAGAGGGGTGTTTCATTATGACGCAGGCTATATTTTACTCCAGCAACATAAAATGTATTTTTTTTCTCGCTTTCAACAATAAATGGTGCTATTTTGGTCAAAAATAAAATATGGTAACTTTGACAACAAGAGAATATTTTAGTCTACAAACTATACTAAAAATAATTCCAAGAGTCCGAGGCCAAGACAGCAGTCTCTCGAAGTCACCCCTTTTTGCTTTCCTTTGATACCTTTGTTCAAAACCAGC